AGGTAAACCTTTGATCTTCTCTAATATAAGTTGTCCCACGGGCGCGAAGGGCAATCCAGAGTTGATCCCTCAAGTCAAGGCTCTTTGTCAACACCATATAACCAATTACAGCTCAACGCCTGGCTGCTTTTTAGTCAGTGGAAATGCTTGCCTCTTCTTGAGCCTCGAAAAGCGTTATCACAGAACCTGGGCGAATAATGAAGGAAGTAGTTCCAAAGGGTATGCCATTGCTGCTGATCATTCACGGTTGGGTTCTTACGAACCTTGTCATCTATTTTTACTATTCCATAAGAGCGAGACTCAAAAATGATTCATGTGCCTTTAAGTAGATTCGTAAGACAGTGCAAATGCTAAAGATGTGCTTGAATGCAATTTCGAAGAAAGCCCAAGGTCGACAACAGAGCTTGTACACAAGGCGCAATGCAGTGCATTGGTTGCAGCTATTTTCATAATTTGTCTGTCGCTTGCATTACGTCACTGATTTAGCCATTTTCTTTGCGAAGGAACGAGACTAATATTTCTCACCGAAACTCCTCGCTAGCATCCAATTGAGCAATATAGATGGGGTCTACACTGTTTTGTGTCAACGAAAAACAAGGCGAATTACTCAACCAATTCGAAAGGCTCTCAGAGCTGATGATGCCTCAGAGCTGCTTCTCCCGTTTTGGTTCTTGAAAAACGCAGAGTAATGCAGATGAAAGTGATATAAGAGATCCATCGAGTTTCTAGAGCGTGACAAAACTTTCGCAGTCTAAAGCTAACTGGTTAATTGCTCCATCCATCAGTACAACCGGTAGACGCACTTTGTCAGGATGAGTATCAGACCACATTCAAGGGAATCATTATCAGAAGTTGCAGCTTGTATATTGTTTTAATGGTGTACTAAAAACTAATGCTGGAACAAGTCTACCTAGTACGGCAAGTTATTTGGAGGAAACTTGAGGAAGACCAGCAAATAGTTACCGTCACCACTTCGCCTTGACGCATCTTTGGGCAAAGTTGTTATGTAGATTAATCGCTGTGAACACGATACCTCTGCTTGTCTTGAAGGCACGCTCCGGGATCAGGCGCGCTGGCTTGTTCTATCCCAGAGGCGTAAGCGTTGATGTCGCGCCCTTTTGCGCTTGAAAGTGCGCGACAAAGGCGCAAGGAGCTCGTCCGACCCGCAACTCACACCTTCGTCCGCAAGCCCCACCCTCCGCTGTCGGTTGCCACGTGGCGCTGCTTGAAAAGCGCGGGCGCATTTGAGGCAGCGGTCCCATTGCGACCCAATGTTATTGGCACTGGAGCAACTAGAGTTAGGTTCGTGAAACTCGTCCAACGCGCCCCTTCTCTATCCCAAGGTGGAATGCGGCTGAAATAGGGGAGGTCTCTGTGGGGCGTAATCGGTGGTTTCGTTTGCTTTCCTTCTCTTTTCCAGACCACCTCCCACCTATAGCTTCATAACTGAACGCTTTTCCACACCTATTTTATCCCGAATCTTGCCTTTGAAACTGACTTCCTGTCGCACAGGGCAGCACTTCGGGAAACAGTCATCGTGTTGTGCAAAAGGATGTCGGGACACGGTTGTGCTGATTCTCAGTCAGCACCAGGAAAATTTCGCTTTTCACTCTTTTTTTCATTTCTAAGGGCTCGGAAAATGATGGAAGAACCACAACGACTTTCACTGCGAACGTTGCACGATACCTCCTTGCTCCCTTCTTACCTTTTTTGAATCAAGAATTCAACTGTCGTCACCAGCAGAGAAAGATCTAAGTAAAGCTCGTTGTATTATGTCGAAGTTCTCAGTTGCACGATGTCTTCGTTTGTATTTCTTGGGCTCACTGCTAAGCTGATATTAATTGTGAATGTGTTATGTAAAGTAAGTGTACTTCCAACAATAAGTAACCGAAAGTACATAAAAATAGCAAACAAAATAGTGGCATTTCATCCCCATGAATTCTAGAACAAGTCTTTGAACGCTTTGGTTATTAGAGTGCACATTAAGTTGCCTCAGTGCCTTCTCCTCGACCAGTCGTGCTCACTTCTTGTGTCTGGTTGTGCGAGTTAGGTTATCAGTACAAAAGCTGGCAATAAATTGTAAATGATGACACCAGAAGCTATTCCTATCAGAGATAGTTGACTCTGAGGACCGCACGTCCCGTCCGAAGGTCGAGTCGTACTCCGAAAGCAGTCTGATCCAGGGTAAAAATCGTGTCGAGGAAAAGACTGCCTCTTCGTGACCCCTCTCTAAGAGGTGGACTCTGATACGACCCCTTTTTGTCCTTCGCGCAAACGATTTTATATCAAATGTGCTAGTTTCAGACATGCGAGAGGGAGGCAGCGCCGCTGCCACACAAATGCTTCGCGATTTCCATAACGGACGGCCAGTGTATTTGTTGCGTGCGCCACATGTGGCGCACGCCGCCACACAGGGTAGGGTTTATGTAGGCTTATGCGAACAGCAGGGTTAAGACGGGGCTAAAGTAGGTGTCCTTGTCTCATCATCCAAAAGAAGAGATTTCCGTTGACGACAAGTTCGTAACCCGCCTTTCCGCTTAAAACTAGGGTGCAAAGAATGAATGGAAGCTGTAGGTGAAATCATGGAAAAATGCGGAACAACCCCGAGCAAGGATGTGGCTATATTTAGGGGAAGGGGTCTCGGGACGTGTGAACCATGGGTAAGCCACCCATCAAATAGTAAACTTATGTAAATTAAGACAAATGTATGTAAAATTTATTGTAGGTTTGTCAAAAATCCAGCCGTCCAGGTCCTGGGAAGATATGTTATTCCACATTGCTGAGAGTATATACGGGTATATTAAGATTGCTAGAAACATTCCAAAAACAAAAGAAATAATCGTGCGCCACCATGTGGCGCACACCGTTATGGGACAAATGCTACTCATTTCTGCTCGGACTAGCTTCTCTCTTCCTTCGAAGACATTTAGACTTTGCCACATTGGCCGGAAAGTAGAACATTGAAGGAGGTAGCCCCTACACAGTTGAACAGTCTCGCGCTCCAGTATAGCGGCGCTAACTACCCGCGATCGCGTCGCGCGCTGTGCCTAGAGCGCGCTAGTTGGAAAAATCGTCAAATGTACCCCCTATTTAAAGGACTATAACTTTCTTCATTGATAACCATTTCAGAAAGTGAAGGCAGCTTTTGAATGCACAAGACTTCTAGTTTCTAAATTGTGCTGAGCGTTTTTTTCTAAGCACGCCTATTCTCGAGAGTGGGAGACGTCGAGGAATTGTCGAGGAAATTGAAATTTACATGCGAGTTCCCACTCTTTGGAAGACAGTAGCTGTCTTCATTGGCAATGCTTTGAAAATCGGAGGAAAGCGTTGTAAAGTAGAAGATTTACGCTTTCTGATAGGTGCTCCAGTTGTTTCGAACGCTTTCTAGTTCGCGAGAAATCTGCGTCGAGGAAATGTCAAGGAAATTTTCGAAGCCACTCGAAAACTCTATTACTCCCTCGCCGTAGTAGGGAACTTCTTTGAACACCTTCAAAATGCTTCTGTACACGTCAGTTCGATGGAGTAAATTGAAAATGATGCACTTGGCGCAGATCCATTCCGTTCTTGTATGCGCCATGCAGTGAACGCTCATTTGGAAGGAATGTGAGTCATTTGGAAGGAATTTTGTCTACACGACGACTTGCTTGAGCATACTAAAAGTTGTTTATGGTTTTGGCTAGGTAAGGTAATTCTTCTAATATCTAATCGTTCTTTTATTCAAGTCACACTTGCGGCTGCAGTATGTGATGATGCCTAGAAGGACTGCGAATCTGCCTGTTTTGAACTTTCCTGAGATGCTGTTCCTCCACTAAGTTCTCAAAGCATGTACATCATTCTAGAGTAGATACTCGCTGCCCTTTCCCTACGATTCTTTTGCAGGACGCGTTGCCTTCCTATGCCATACTGATCACTACGAACCAAACCAACAACCACTTTCCATTTAAATTTTAATTCCAGACAGTTGTAAGATATTATTTGCATTAGGCTAACTACAACACTTGTGAAAGTAATGATGACAGCAAATAAGTGGCAGCAGCACCGTTGTGTCCGTTGATGAACCTTTTGATTACGACCCCCCCACCTCTCATCGGAGCAAATACGACCCCCTGTCAAGAATTTCCTCGGCTACTATTCACCCTGGTATGGACATTGGATCAGATAGACACTCCTAAAGGAACAAGTTGTGAACAACCTACTGTGTGTGGCCACACTAAAAACACCATTTGCAGATGATACAAGAAATCAATTGACCGAAATTTCTGCAGTAATTGTGCAAAAGGGGAACTTCTTGTTGTTGAGTTTTCCACGCCTTAGCTTACTGCAAAAGCTCATGGTAGTATTGAGTTAACTGCAAAAACTCATGGCATTATTATTCACACATATCCTGCAGCTAAAACTCTGTTGTTACTATATGTTAAACCGAATATTGTGAGATTGGTGCGTTACGCTACCTCTAAGGTATTACTGTTGAGAGTGAGTACACCCACAAATTTTTTTCAACACCTTTACTTTGAGCCTCGAAGCCGTTTCGAACCAATCGCAGTGGGTTCAACAACGATATGCATGTTGTATAGTAGACATATTATAAGTATATATTACTTATTTACTATGTTAGTGCAGCGCTCAAGGAGACCGCTCGGCGGAAGATAAAAGGAACATGCTGCATTTCTGAACATTCTAAAATTCCCTATAATTAGCACACGACGTCCCAACATTGCAACATGTCACGCTACTCCTATTTTCTTCTCCAGTGTCATGCCTACCCAACTGCTATTTAGGTCATCCTCGTCTGCAATGTTTCGTGTCACATGCAGGACTGAATAGTGTTTTGGAGGTGTCAAGAAGCGGAAAACCGTCAATTCTGGTGCCGATTTGCGCTGATCAAATAAGGTCTGCTTTGCAAAACTTCATACTTGTAAAAACTGTGCGAAGATGATCATGACACAATTGCCATTTCTGCAGAAACGCGCGGTTCACTGAAGTGAAAAATACAACGATTGTAATAACAAAAGAAGAGTTCAGTCGCGATACATTTGCAGCTGCTCTCGAAAAAGTTCTTCGTGATAAGAGGTGAGTGAGAATGAGAAAAACGCAAAAACTTTTATCGAATTACATAGGCCCTCTCAAAATCCATGAGACGAAGTTTTAAGCCGGTGCTTGATATGAAGCTCTAAACCGGTGGTTAATAAGTGAATGAACTCCTTCAAGCTTTGCTCTTTGACTTCTCATCTCAAGGAGAACAAAAATACCACTGCGGAGTTGAATGAACTAATCACATTTTGAGCAGTTGCTACAACACTCATGATACAGCCAACAGATCGGAAAAGAAGTTGCTTCTATCCCCCTCAAGAGAAGATTTCTAACGAGTTGTGGTCAGCAAAGTGACGCAAATAAAATATTCTTGTTCGCCATAAATGTAATCCCTTTCAGCTACTCGCAGCGGGCGAAGCGCTTGGCATCTGTTATGGTGAACAAACCATTTTCGGTGAGAGATAGAGTGCTTAGAACTGTTGAATTCTCCATTCGGCACGGCCGGATTTATGATCTCGACTATGGAAAGCATTTGAACACAATACAGTATTATAGTGTAGATGTTGTTGCTTTCTTAGCAGTTTTTCTTTTATCTTTCATATTAATTTTGTACTACACGTGCAGATTCTTTTGCCGAAAAATATCTCGAATAAAAAATAAAAATGATTAATTTTCTCCCTGTGTTTGCCGTAGAAGCCACTCTTGGATACTTTAACATTTTGAGTGGTTTAGTACTCCATTTTCAGTACACGTGCATTATACACTGAATTGCATAACCTAAGGACGAGGTGCATAATTCAGCACGTTTTAGCAACTAAGCGCAAGTTAGCATAGGTAGCTGAACCTCACTCAAGAACAATTTGAATATGTTGCCAAGCAGGGTGCATCGCGGAAAGTTGTGAAAAAAGATCGTTTGTTCCAACAAGCAGTTACGGTGCACTGCAGTAGTACTGATCATTGCAGCATGCCCCGCATTCAAAGAATAACTTCACACGAGAATCATTGGTGAAAGAAGAAGGGCGAAGACCTCTAGTTTGGTATGATGCACTGTTCAGCGTGCATGTGGACATGATAAACTGTAACAGCCGCTGATGGTCACATTTTGCCAAATGGGCGAATGGCCCATTTATGCAGCATTTGCTGGCATATCACCGCACTCTGAGCAATGCAATCCTACGCTGCATTGTGGCAGGACATCTGTATGGGGATCGTCAGATGGTGCAAGGAACGTGGAAGTGGATCCACAAGAAAAAACTGGTTTCATCTTTGTAGACGTTGCAACACATGCATTGCGATCCTTGGTGCTCGCAAACACTATTGAGGAGCGTGTGCCTTTAACAGGCTGATCATGAGCTTCCCAAGCTTTAGCGTGGCCACCGTCTCAAAAAGAAGTTTCATCTCCTTGTACCAATTCCTGCTTTTGTTTTTTTCTCAGTCGCCTGCTGTCCCAAAGTGTAACGCTGAATCCATGCATGATAGGAATTCCCATCGTGATATGTTACTTTACAGCGACAAATCATATCAAATCAATCGTATAAAAGTTACTTTTGTCCTAGAGGTAGGTATAACCTGTGTGACCTGTCGTCCCGTTGATCGTCGATTTGCTCGAGCGGGCGCCAGCAACGTCTCCATTCGTCCCTGTCGCGTGCTAGAGTGGTCCAGTGGATCCTCCTTGCTCGAGGGACACGAAGTCCTTCATTCCTTTCGTTCAGAGCTTTCGTGAAGAAGTCTGACCATCGGGCCGGCGGTCGTCCAGGTGTTGAGAGACCCAGTCGGCAACTCTCTGGTCCAAGTGGCCATCGCAAAATCGATTCTGCAGTCCTTCCTGCCTTAAACCACGCCTCAGAGACTTGGACTCTGCGCAGGCAGGACGAGCATGCGGTCAGCGTTATCCAACGCGCTGTCGAGAGGACGATGCTAGGAGTAACCCTATACACGCAAGTGCAGAGGGGAATCCGGGATTCAGACTACGCCAAGGTGAGAGACGCTGCCTAAGGCAGGTGTACCGATGAATCCTATTTTAATATGTTGACGACAGGCCCGTTGCGTGCACATGTGCCCATGTTTTTTTTTAACAAATTTGCATCAATATGTAGTTTTCTATATAATTCAGTAGACATAATTCTTCAACCCTTTCAAGACTGAGCTTTTATTAGGCTTACGTTTCGGCTTCTTCGCCTTCGTCAGAGCCTGAAATGGTCAAAAGCATATGTAACTTGCTCGCTCAAACGCCTCAAGAACCCAAGACTTTTCACTAGATTAGAAACTTTCAAAGGTATTGATCGATAGAGGCATGGGACTGCTCACCTTGAACTCCGCCGCTAAGACAGGAGGACGACCACCCTCGTACTAACTTTAATATGTGCAAACTATACCTTCCACCGACCTCCTAGTAGATCAAAGGATACAAAGTCGAGGAATGGTGCGAGTTCGCGGGTTATGGCCACACACTCCTCCTTCCTGTTCATTTGAGGGTCTTTAGCATTGATCCAAAATGCTTCCAGCGTCTTGCGCGCCGCGATCTCGGGTTCCAGCGCCAATATGGACACTGAAACGCCAAACGATGAGCCAAATGACCTTCCAAGGGTAGAATTAGTTTGTGATCTACTCAGCCATCCAGATGTGCCTTAAAAAATGCCAAACGCACAGGGGACACCCTGTTTCTCCCATATACTCCCTTTTACAACTCTGATAACGTATTCAGTAGTCACTCCCATCTTCATGCAGTCGCCTTTCTTTCCATAAGGCATACCACACAGTTAGGAGTATCGCATACGGCATTGTAGAGACGATAGCAAACAAAGTGCCTTCGGAGAGGGCGTGGAGGTATTTCGACAATCCTTACATCATCTTGATGTATATTGGATCGGGTAGATCCCCTCTCGTTCAGAATTGAAAGGTAAACACAAACCTTGTCGGAAGGTGTTCTCTCGTGGACTGTAGTTAAATATCGGAATATGTTACCAAAGCTAGACCCATTGTCGTCAGTACTGGATAGCCTACGGACAATATCTTGCTTTTTCAATACATTCCCGGGACAGCTTCTCCGGTACATCCCCGCCCACCTGACCAACACTAGCATGCTACTCAATAAGTTGTCCAGCGCTAGCCTTCAAGAAGGCTGTGTGGTGGAATCATTCGACGTCACATCCCTTATATACCGATTTATCGAATGATGCTGCGTTTGAAGTCACATATGAATTACTTTGCGAGCATCAACCTTATGTCTATCTGTACGGAGTCGCTGTCACGCAAGTAATGACGATCTCGGCAGAGTGCCTCAAATGTTCCTATTTTACCTGGTCGGGCGAGTACTATAAGCAGCTAAGGGGCCTGGCTAGGGCACCGACTAGCGCCGGTGCTGGCCATAGCGTTCATTTTGAAATTGGAGAAGCCCGTACTGAACATGGGGGCCCAATTCTATTAGGATGTTTTATGATTCTCGGCCGATTTGGTTCGAATTCAATTTTCTTCATGTCAATTAGCTTCATAACGAAATAAGTTGATATGTTGAAGAACACATCAGGACCTTCAGCCAGGATGTTTCAGAAGCTCAAATGCGCAACTGGATAATTAAGGGGGAATCAAAATAAATCAATGACCAAACCCAACGATGATGCCTTGCGACAATTTTAACACGTTGGCGACAGCCCCTTGTGCGTCCACCTCGGCACTTTTTGTTTATTTTTTTCACAATCATATTTGGAGAAATCAAAGTGTTGGAATTCAACCAAAAATTATGAGACCACCCAATAAATTACCGCTACATCCATAACTGTCTTATCATATTGAACTCAGGAAGAAATGGATATTTGTTACGACTTCCTGAATAAGCAGTCAGAAGAACATCAAATTTACACGGGAAAAGCCCGTGAAGGATTGGCTACCACTTTTTGAATGTTCAAGTCCAGGCACTGCGAGACACAGTAAGAACCCAATGGTGCCGCAAGCCAAGCTGTGAGAACATATTTGTTCTCTCAATCGGCGCATCCCACAAAAACTAAACTGGTGGTGGTCAGCAATATGCTTAGAGTCGCTAACAAGTTTCATCGGATACCGAGCTAAAAGGGAGTTTCTGAGCATGGCCCAGAGCATTGCCGTTGGACGGATGTCCGTACTCTGAGTCAATACTACAAAGATATTCCACCACTCCGACAGTCACAGAAGAACACTTTTCGACAAGTAACTTTTTGTTTACTTCACCTCAAAACAGGTGAGCAAATCTATTCGATAGATTGCTTCTAGGCTTAATACCGATACGTTGGTAGAGAGCATATGACTGTAGCATTCCCACTTCCAAGGCTATGCTCATTCATAAGTGATACATTATGAGCACAGAAGAGAGAGCAAAAATGGCATTGTTTGCTTGCGCGAGTCGTATATTCGTTCGTCAAGAATCGAAGAGAAAACTGTTGAGGACAGCAGGGTGAAAAATCTATGGAGCTTCCACTTTACTGATTCAATTTAATTTTCTAGAGGCTCACTTTTCTTAGCTGTTGGCACAATGAAAATCATGCGATTAATCTCATGCTGCCTGTCTTACGTGCAAACTCAATTTTTATATGGGCCACTGAAAAGCAACGTTTCACTATGTGTCGATTGATCGTGTTCCTAACTGAAGAACGTCTTCTTTTTGGGCAAAATAACAAAATATAATTTTGGAACTGCGACAGTACAGAACTGGAGGAGTGTTGCAATCGCTAATTTACTCACAAAAACCAAACTGATTTCGGCAGCTCCAAGTAGAGGTCGAGTCATTGATTAGGCTCTAGTGCAGATTTCCGGCAGCACACCCTCAATGACATGACTAATCCATGAAACGTTTAAAAATTTTCAGGACCCCGTTTTACATTGTTCAAACCCTTGATGCTAGTTTCATTTAGAAAGAATGATGTGGTTCAGAGCAGAGTGAAAAGCGGTCAAGCAGCTCGTCGACAGGAAATTACACTTGCCTCGTTGGTGGGAGGGGTGTTGCAAGGAGGGCATGGCAACTAAACGACCGCGGAAAGGTTACCAGCTCGTTGTGATCTCAAAATCGTTGCAATTGGCGTAGCAAAATATTTTTTTGCTGAAATTTTGAAATTGTGGTTTCAAATGAGATGGGCTTATTAGGCTATGGGTCGAGGTCTGCCTGAACGTCCGATGACGGTATTTCATGATTGGCCAACGCTTCTTCTCGCTCTGACGCGTCGCCTTCATAGATAGGATATATCAGTTTGAAGTTCAACGTGTGAAGGTCCACAACGTCCTTGGAGCCACCACGCACTGTCACATTTCCAGGGTTCAGAATTATGGCATGGTCACAGAACCTTATTGGTAAAGACTAATTACATTGTGTGATAGTCCAGCCGTAACACCTTTTTAATGGCTTCGATTGAGCTAATGTACACTAAACATATAAGGATGGAGCGAAACGAAGTCAGCTTTTAGCTCATCGATATAACGGTCTCTGGGAGCATTCACTCTTTGAAAGATGTTCATTGCTACTGTATAGGAGGAAGAAATTTTTAAAAAATTCTGTTCTGAAAATCGGACGTCTTTTCCTTGACACACATACGAACGAGAACCCTTTCAACTTATTTTTGTACAGCAATCTTCTAATTTCCAGCGCTTTTTTCGCGCACTTCGGAAGCTCATCAGTGGAGATAAGCTGTGAAGTTTCAGAAA